AGGCGGCGGCCGCTCTGGCAGCAGCCATGCCAGGGGCTGGAGGGGCCAAATCTGAAGCCAGAGGCAACGGCCCTCTGCCTGGAGGAGGAGGGCTCATGGAGGAGATGAGTGCCCTGTTAGCAAGGAGGTAGCGACACATCATATATTACTCTTCGATTCAGTACGTCTCAAAATAGGCACTTGAGTCATATGAATGAATTTCAGATCTTGTTTCATATACTACAGAAAAGTGAAACTTGACACAGTTGCCATACAGTAGATTTAGCAAACCCCAATGTTGGTCGCAATGGATTTTGTTGTGCCACCTGAAGAATAAGTTCATGTACTCATCACTCTCACTATTCCTCAGTATTATGAGATGATATGTAGTAAAATCGTAATTTAAATGCACTTTGTTGCTGACAGAGAAGTATCACTGTAAGATCTAGAGAAATCTAAGGAATTTAGGTTTTAAAAATGTGGAGTTCAGGAGGAATTGTGTGGTCTGTGCTTTATGATATTAACATTAAACATGATGATATGTTTTTAAAAATAGCAACTGTTTTTCAGAAATAATTCTGGACTCTGTCTTACAGGAGAAGAATTGCAGAGAAGGGCTCATCACCTGAACCTGACCAGAGATCAGTAAGTACCATTAGATCCTTCTTGTCTGCTGTATTCATGGGGTAGGACTGGATAAGTCTGACTTCTTCCTACTCCATTCAAGCATGTACTAGGTATAAGCAAATTGATATTGGATTAGCATTTGTTGGATATGTGTAAAATTATGTGTGTTGATATATCAACTGTCTTTACATGCTTGAAAGAATAAATAAATAAATCAAAAATAAATCAAGTGAGCTGCTGGCCTAACATCACAGCAAACTGAGGGTAGCATGTGATCTGGTCAGGAGAAACCAACAGCTAGAAACTTGCCAAGATTTAGACCACTAAGCCATGTTACCAAGCTACAAAATAGGGAAGTAAAATTTGAAAATAACATGATCTTAGTTTGTTGTGTATATCTGAAAGACAATTATAGAAGTTTTTGTATTACATAAATACATCATGGGAGTGTGAGAGAAGGCTGGATATGGTCATTAGGGTACTCTTCAGGTTTGCCTGTAGTTCTTAATACAACTTCTTTTGATATTTTTCTCATTTCAGCAGAAATCCATAGTTTATTTTCATTTCAATGCCACCAGGGATCTATGTTTATATAAGTGCCGTTTCCTTGCTATTTTGTAGCCGTGATGCCTGAAACAGATGAGAACATCTAAAAAAAAAAGTAGCTTTGTTACAGCAACAGTAAATACAAGCGAATCCAGATCTCTTCAGTCACACCTGCTTTATCTGTCTATTCAGCACAATGCATTTTACTGAAGGTACAGAGTTTCATTTCTAAGCCCTAACTACCTACATTTGTGTAAAACAGAAGTGAGACTTCATTATCTAATGCTCTCTCCCTACTGTCCCACCAGTGCTGCTGCTGCTGCTATGTCCCACAAAAACAAGGTCTTACATACTAAGAACTTCCTGTACAAAATGTTGCTCTGAAGGGCTTGGTCTGATGTCCTTGGGCATAAACATGTGAAGACAAGTTTTCTTTTATTAGATAAATGTGCTATTTTCCAGCTTCTGTCTTCCTTAGGTATATCGTACCACCCAGCTCATTATCATCACCATTGAAGGGTTTGGAGAGAAGGTGTTGGGGGAAAAAACATTTTCTAATTTCTACCTATTTCTTAAAAATGTCAGAAATCTTGATATCTATGAAAAAATCCTCCCAATATTTATACATAAATACATTTTAACCTTGTGCAACTAAATTCACAAAATAAAAAAAAGTAACTATCCTGAGGATCTGTGAGATACAACAAATAAATGTATATAAAGTGCAGGAGATTCAAGTAACTTTATTTTGCTATATTGTGATTTATCGTAATACAAGAAGCTGAACTGAGGAATAATTTATACATGAGATATGCTGATGGGAATGTATGCAAAATCCCATGAATCCAAAATTTCAATATTATAGGTATGAAATTAACAGCTATGTCCCAGTATCAGTTATGTGCTCATTGTTTTCTCATTTAGTCACTGGATCGATAATACATCAAAAACCTGTGAAAACGGCCATCAACGTATCCCAGAACAAGGTGGCACCATTAACTGCCTTGTGTCTGAACACTTCAAAACCCCAAAAGTTGTAAATTTATTGTTAAGAAAAGCAGCAAATCCTTGAAGACTACGAATCATCAAGTATGTATTTTTTGCTTAAAAAAATCACAACTAACAGATTATAAAAACTTACTGATAAAAATATTTCAATGCACTAATGGTTTAATCAAACACATTAAAATCTCTGATAGCTGACAACATGGTTTGTCTTGCCCAGTTCAACACCAAGCTACATCTCAGTGACTGCGTTGGGTTATGGTTCAGACAGAAATGACTTTCACAGATGGTGGCGTTAATGTCACACAGTGTAAGACCGCTCTCTGGAATATGGCCATACACATAAATAAATCGCTCACCCTAAAGGGTGTGCGACTACCTGCAAAATCATATCGCCCTGCCCCGAATTAGCATGATGCTAAAATAGGCAGCTAGCTAGCCTGCTTATCGTGTGTTTTTACCTTTAATTTCTCCCTGGAGGTTTATCTTGTCCGGGAATTTAGTTGCTGGCAGGAACATCGCTCTTCTCTACTATATGTCGTTTAAAAAAGCATGCAGATCGCAGCAAATGTTAGATGTACTTCGACCCGTTTGAGAGCTGAATCAGAGTATAAACACAAACGTTACAGTTGAGGCTCTCAGCAAGCTTCTTCTTCCATGTGTGAGCGCAAACTTCCGCCACACGCGCCAGTCTCAGCTTCTGATTGGACAAATCCTCTGTCAATAACAATGTTTCGGAAATCACCCCAGACCTAAACACATCCACGTGATGACACAAACAAGTATTTACATCACTTTACACTTGAGTGGAGCTGTCTGTGTTTACGGCTTTACTGCAGAAGCGCATCATGAGATGAACTGGTAGCAGAACGAAACATGTAAATAAAATATCTTTTATTACGAAAGAAAGTACATGTTCATTTTCATCAGCACAAATATTATCATTCCCCGCCTCCATCCTCTAAAAAAATGTTTTGAATTCAGATGAATCGCTAGCACCCTCTGTAGTACACATAGCCCACTCAATAAGGTGGACTGAAACAAAAAACAAGTCACTTTGACAAAGGAAACACCGGCTTTACTTAAAGGATGCGAAATGTGTTTATTGAGGTTAAAAATCTGATTACATTAATGCCAAGGGTGTAAGTAAAACAAAAATTATTAGGTTCCAAGTTCAGTTGGGCACCTGCTTTATCAACCAACAACACAGATGTGAATATTAAAAAAAAAGAAAATCATAAATTAAAACAACATCAAACTATATTCCACAATAAATCATTCACTTACTTTAAATTAGACTGTAAACAGACTTAAAACCAAACACTGAGTGTGGTATAAAGAAACTCGTGTGTTCTGATTTGTGCAAGAAGAACAGAAATCATCACAACTTGCAGTTCTTGAACTTTAAGATGAGACTGAACACAAAACACAGCAAACAGTTTAAGACTTTAAAAGGTCATATGCAAATTAGCAGTCCCATGTAAGACTTTGTAGAAGAACTGTAAAAGTCTATCACATTCCTTCAACACAGTGTGAAAACACTGGGCAGTGCTTTTGGTTTTCAGTAAAAGAGACAATGCAGAGCTGATGTAGGACTGTAAAGTTTTATTCGCATAAAAATGGCAAAATGATAGATATTAATTGAGAAATTAAACAGCTGATTAATTGGGGTTCAGAGTGTCCCTTTGTGTAACATTTGTCAACATTTAATCAGGGTGGGTGCCATGTTTTACAAAAGTGAAATGTTACTTCTAGATTGCATACATATTTGGAATTTGGGATTATTTTGCATCATTCTTACAGTCAGTGCATTTAATGTCAGACCGGTGCCCTAATGTTCAACAACATGTTCCCATGTGGGCAGCGGCTGGGAGGTAAAGGTGTTTAAGTCTGTGGGAGATCTTTAGTTTATGCCCATTGCTCAGATTTTAGTGTTGAGCCACATTCCAGGTTTATCACCAGGCAACCTCACGTAAAAGTTGACGGTCCATATGCGTCTCCCTCTACAGCTTAACAAATATAGTTATTTTTATAGGCATTAGACAGTATATCTAATTTGGTCTTGGTTTCTTTGCTTTGACATCCCATATAATATTCATTTTCTACCGCTTAGTCCCTGAACGGGGTCACGGGTGGGGCCGGAGCCAATCCCGGCCGGCAATCGGGCGAAGGCGGGGTGATTTAAAAGAAGTCCCCAGTTCTGCAAGAGTCGGGTCTGTCAGGTGGGGCCTGCCAGAGCTGAAGGGCCCTAACTGAGAAAGCTTGGTCGTTTTTAGAGTTGAGCCAGGTCTTAAGGAACATGAAGAGCCCTGCCCAAAGATCTGAGGCTATGCTCTGGCTCATTATGCAACTGTAGCAATAGGAGCCAAACCATGAAGTGGTTTATCAGTAAAATCATAAAATCAGTTATAAAGAGCCTACAGCAGCCACATTTTGCATTGACTGCACACACAGTTGTTTTTCTGTTTATCTTGAGCACAGTGAATCACAATAGTCTAAATGAAATTATATGTTTTGTCTGTGTAAACAGATTCCTTTTGCTCACTTTCATTAGTGCTTATATCATATTCACTTATAACACTTACTGTATATTATGTTTATTATACTGTATTATCCTTTCGTTGCAAAATGGATGTACAATTCTGTTGATCCTTATAAATTATTTTTGCTTTTGCACAGTGTGTTTGGGGTTCTAGGCTTCCCTTAACCAAGTTACCTGTACAGTTCAGCACAAACAGCATATTTCAGTCTTTGCAGTAATATAAGTTCAAAGTTCAAAGTGTTTATTTTGTCATATGCACAGTTAGGAAACATGTTTCCCTGTACAATGAAATTCTTACTTTGCCGTCCACATGAATGCCACAAAATACAAATGAAATATAAAGTAGATAAATAAATAACACAAAATCTAAGGCACTTTAAGCAGCAAATGCAGATATATAATAAAAATATATAAGAATATAATAGAGAATGTATGATACATGGGAGCAGCATGTGCAGCAGTCAACAGTCAATGTGCAATTATGCATGTACAAACTGAGAATGTAAACATCAGTACGGCATTACATGACATATTTCCTGGTAATAAACTCCTCAGCTGTTTAGGAGTCTGATGGCAGAGGGAAAGAAAGAGTTTTTCAGTCTAGTGGTCCTACATTTCACACTTCTGAACCTCAGGCCAGAGGGCAAAGAAGTGAACAGTCCGTGCTGGGGGTGGGTGGGATCTTTGAGGATGGAGGCAGCCTTCCTACGCACCCTGCGGTGGTAAATGCTCTGCAGAGAGGGCAGTGGAGTCCTGATGATCTTCTCCGGCAGCACTTAATTTTTTTTTACATACTGTCAACCACAGAGTGGCAGTAGATTCCCAGATCATTACAAGATACAGTACCTCTAAGGGCACATCACACAGCATTCCAGTTCTCTCTCTCTCTTTCTCTGAGCACAGAAAGGTAGCATAAATCGTTCAGAAATCTCGCGATGCTTTGATCCTAGCTGACCTCTCAGTAATGCTTTTGCCCCTCCAGTCAATGAGCAACTAGAGTAGACATGTCGAGTACGAGTGACGTAGGATTCTGCGTAGGTTTCTTTTGAGTTTATGGTAAATAATTGAGTTATAACGTGGAGCATGTTGAAAACTATACCATTTTTCTAGTAACCGAGTCACAGATATCAGAAAAGGAGAAAACCAGTTGAAGGAAATAGTAGAGCTAGCTAGCTAGCTGGTCTGGCAGTCAGCGTGTGGGAATGGCAGCTCCCCGGCAGATAAAAGGCATCCTAAAAAACAAGAACAGCGATTCAAATGTCAAGTCGCTGCCCGAAGACGTACCAGCAGAGGATCTTGAACAAGCCCCTGGACTCACGGAAGACGACCAGTAAGTTTTCTGCTTAGCTGTCGTGAGCTTGGTAGCCCGGTAATATTAGCTACACTAAACACACGTTAGCCTCTGTGCTTCCCCTGTCAGGCTAACTGTAACGTTGAAATCACCTCTTCGACTGTTAATGCTAGCCAACTGTGTGTGCTGTCTGCATGAAAACTTTCTTATTGTTTCTTACAATTATTAGATGGTTTCTCCTCTCTCCTAAAATCTTATTTTGTAACCAAGAGCTAACTAACGTTCACACCGAGGAGCCAGGTTAGCTTGGTTGGGGTCCAATACCGCGAAACTCACAACCGGTAACTTAACGGTTGTTAGCAGATATTCATTTTATAAGCTGGAGATGTCGAACAATGAAAAACTCTTACAGTCGATGGACTTAGTGGTAGTAAAAAAAAGTTAAATGAAAAACACCGTTAAACATTGACAGCTCACACGCAGTGATGACCATAATAAGGTAAATAAACAGAAAATCTCCGAATAACGTTTGTGCTGTATTCAACTAATCCAATTTTAGCGTTGTTCACGGACCATTTCCGATCGAATATTGTATACAATTAAGCACGTTAGGTTACACAAAGCCCTTAAAATACTCAGGAGCCACGTCCATATGTACATACTCAGAGTGCATTAACACAGTTATATTTCAGCAGTTAGTTTTCTGTAAACTATATTAACACTAACTGAAAATATACCTCCTGCATTGTGGATTTATTGGCCAAATTTTTGTCAGTTAATTATTTTGTTTATGAAATGTCAAAAAGTAATTTAGAAATGCCCACTCACAACTTTGCTGGATCTAAGATGGCATCTTCAGATATTTTTTTGTTTGTTGGTTTTGTGTCTGATCAAGTCCAAAGCCGAGAGATGTTCAGCTGGAATATTGCTTTATTGAGTTTATTGCTGTATAAGATTTTAACTAAAGATTGTCATTAAGAATAAAGTCCATCTAAACCAGTGGGTAGACTGGTAGCCTAGGCCAGTGGGTGTACTCTGAGTTATATCTGTAGCGACATTGATTTGATGTTCCATCTGACACTGATAGCTGTGTTGCAGACCTGCACTCTCACTGAAGCACCTCTCTGGCTCAAAAGAGCCAGCGATCTGTGGTAATCAAGGCTATTTTGCTCTGACCAATTCCAGTCCACCTTGGCTCCATTTCACTAACAACCATCTCATAACACTGCTGTTGTGCTGAATGAACACCTATAACATAACTTCTCTCAAATCCCCTGCTTCCTGAACTCATCCCTTGTGCCCTTTAGTCCAGTTAGCCAGTAGACATTTTGTCAGAGGACATCATGCGTTGCTTGCCATTACTGCAATCTTGAAGCTGGCCAGGGTGACAGTTTGGCTCATTCACCTACTGGCAGTAGGAGACACCAGATTATATTATCCATCGTGTTCAGTGACAATTGCGGCATCTCAGATGAGGTCACCAGCATTGCAGAGCAAATAAATAGGTGTGTGCCAATAGTTTTACCATTTAGGAACATGATTAGGCCCTGTAATGATCCACTGATCAATATTCAGATTGTAAAAATATGTCTGGGAGTGTTGAATCAGCTGTTCTGTTTTTCTAATGGGTGCTCAGCCTTGGGGTCATGCTGACAAGAGGTCAGAGTTGGCTTCTTGCCCTGGATCCTTACCTTCTCCTATGCGTTCATATTACTGATACTTGAATGGTGGCAGTGAGACTTAAACACCCCAGATCACCAGCCTCTGTTAGGCCATTTCTCTCCCACAGTCAAACCCTGACTCCTCTCTGCCAGCAGGGCCAGGAGACCCTGGACATGCCCAGTTCCCTGAGTGATGCTGTGGAGTTGTGTTGTATTATTGCCAGTATAGTCCGATTTTAGTGAAGGTGGCATTATAGTTAAACAAGGTGGCTGCTTTACAATTATACACACATTTCCTTTTATCTTAAATCATTTCACCTGTCTCTTCTGTTTGGAATGTTTTTCATTGGGTTAATCCACATTCACCCCAATCAAACATTAGGATATGTAAAGGGGATTTGTAGATATATTTTTCTACTGTATGATTGACCTCCCCCAACACACACACACACACACACACATTTATTTGCATCATTTTATACTGTAGCTGATGAGTTTTTTTATGTGTGTCATCTAAGAACCCATTTTTGAGTAAGTAGGTAAAATACCATAGGCAAAGAAGGATACAGATGAGTCTAGGAAGTTGTCTAATTCTTAATGGATTAGTGGCTCAAATCCCATCAGGATTTTAAAAAGTGGTCATGGTATTACGATGCCCTACAATGATAAAGATAATAGAGCTGCAATGGAAATAAACAAACGGGACATGTCAGTTCCTGTAGTGCATATGGAAAGTTTTCAGGCCTTTTGACGGTTTTCATATTTTATGTTTTAGACTCATCTTAAAATTGATTCAACTTTTTCTCATCGATTTACATAGAACACTCCACAATGGCAAAGCAAAAATAGGGTTTTGGAGTATTTTGTAAATGTATTAAAAATTTTAAAACCGAAATATTCCATTCACATAACTATTCAGAGCCTGTGTTATGACATGTGCAACTGAGCTCTGGTGCATACTACTCCTATATGTTCATTAAACAGATCCAGACATGGTGGCACAGCTCAGTCAGACAAGTTCTTGTCATCTCTATGGATTGGGTGCTTGATTGTACACAGGATTGTTCCAGAAAACTCTTTTCCTCTACTTCCTTGTCACTCAGAAAGACTATTTATATATCAACGCAGAACAAGCTGTATTCACTGCCGGGAGTGGAATTCATTAATAAATGCCATGCTGTGATGGCCTAATTTCTCACGCTGCGGCTCAGAGAGGACTCCTAATGTCTAACCAGCTGGCACTGGAGAAGCAGGGGGCTCACAATTAGTGTTTAAATTGGACCAACTCAAGACTGGTAGGTTATCACCAAAGGAACTAGTAGGGCATATGGACAATTTAGTCATGAAGCTGATAAAATTGTTTATAAAGTATTTATATACACCAGAAGCTGTAGAATGCATGATGATTAACATAATCAAAAACACTATAGGTTAACCATGCTTTTCCTATGTCTCCTATATGATATTATTAGTTTACATTTTAAGGAAATCAAGTTCATTATGATTCTACTAAAGAGTCAACTGATGACACTGCTCAAACCAACCCAGCAGCAGGCAGAATCTGCAGCAAGCACCAAAGATTTAGCAAAACCTGGCAGGTGGGTGGTGTTAATTTATCACCCTGACTGTGAATGAAGCAACATTCAGTTAATTTACTAAAGCCATCATGTTTGTGTATTTACTTTTTAGATTTAATCATTATGGCATATTTTAAGCTCTGCCTGTTGGCAACATCTTTCAACTAATACTTTTTAATAGTTTCCAGCTATTCTTTTAAAAGTAGATTAGCTGGTGTGCTTTGCATTGAGTTCCCTTGCTCAAGGGAATTTTAAAAGGTTAACCCATTAGAGACTGTCACTTTTTGTTATCCCTTCAACCATTGTTATTTTGTTAACAGTGATGCATGAGCCCCACACCCCCTCATATATAATTCATGGATGCCTTCATGAAACTCAATCTCTCCTTCACTGTCGTATGAGCCCTGTCCTGTGAACGCGACTGGCAGGCAGTGGATCTCTAACTTTCCATAAAGTGAATGGAAAAATACCAGTCTATTTACCCTCCTGTGTGCAGGTCAGTTGAGGTCAACCGCGGGCATATATAATTTCTTCATTTTTTTGTATTAACAATAAGAGCCTTTTAATGATAAAGCCAGAATCAACTGGTGTTTGAACACCAGTGGTCTACAATGATAAAGAGCAGTAACTGATATAGGACAAGGCATACAAAGTAAGTGAAATTACATAATTATCAATACCTTTATTGTCTGTTATACTGTTGATACAGAGGCATGTAATAAATCTAGTGTAATATGTAATTGTTTTAAATGAAATGAACCGTTTGACCTTTATAACCCAAAGCATCTGCTGTTTCTTTGGCATATTGGCCAAGTTAAGATCACTTGGTCCCCTTTAAATGAACCAAGAAAGGACTCGGTTCTTTTTCTGGTCCACCTCAGTTCTAATGTGTCTTTTGTCCTCTCTCTGTTCATACTGACTCTGGAGCTCTTGGGCCTGTATTGATTTCACATATGGCTTTTATGTCAAAGGATTCTCTACTTTATCTCTTTTTATTGTGTGTGTGATAAAGTACTTTTGATGTATTCATTTCCCCACGCTTTGTGGCACTGTAGTGGGGTCATAATGAAGCCCCTTACTTGTGAGCTGAAAACGGAATGAAATCCTTAGTGTGTCTGTGCCTTATAGCCAGTTGTCATTTCTTCCTGGCACTAAACTACCCGTCCATATGGGTATCATTAAGATTTTTAATAGCACTACTGATACTGCTTATTTTTACTTTAAATAAAAAATTGAGTGCTAACATTGCTTCATTTTTTATTTTCTCATATTTACCTTTAATATTCTTGAGTAGCAAATTGCAAAGGCTTTGTCTCAGGTCTGTTTTTAGATAGAGACATAGGGGAGCTCTGCAGTCTTGTAGCAGCTGGCACTGGAATTAGCATCTCTCTCCCATCTCCTACTCCCTGCCTGTCTCTCAAGGTATTCGACCTTTTATTCTGTAAACAGGGTCAGGGCTGATGCACAGCACTTTGGCAGGAGACACTAAAGAAAGCAGAGGTGGTTTAACCCAAGCCTGATAACTCTCTGGAGCACCTGGATTTGTAGTCTTAGGTCTCAGCTTAGTTTCATAGAAAATAACTAGTATAAATGAGTGTGAAGAATTAAATACTGTTGGAGGCTTACCGTGAACTGAAAATAGGAAAGAACTTCAAAGTAAAACATGGAAATTATGGTGAGTGAGTCTACAAAATCTAATTACATCAAAGCTCTGAAAGATTAGAAGTAGTAAATAATTTGTCTGTGGGACAATGCAGTTAAAACAAATGTTGCTGCTTCCTCTCTCCTGATCTATAATAGCAGTTCTCTTTATCTTCTCAAACTAAATGTCTTATTTGGTTCTCATTTAGTCTTTGTCTTTGTTCATTTCCAAAAAGGATTTGAAAGGGCTGCAAGGATTAGTCTCATTCTGAACAAAAAGCCCTGATACAGCATGTAGAGAGGACAGCCTTATTTTCCAGATGCGAGTGGAATAATCTGGCCAGGTGTTCTGCAGGGAGGTGGAAGAAAAACACCTCATCCTCAACAAAGCAGTTGTATGAAATCAGAATGCTGTTCAACCTTTGACCTTATTCACTCACAGCTGATTGACCTTAGTTCCCACTCAGACCCTTACTTGAATCCCTGATGGATTAACTCAACACCAATGCAAATACCATGTAACGTCCTGAAAGTCTAATTGGTGCAAATGACACTTTTTCATTTTTGTGTTCCCAAAATAAAACTGAATGAAAATTGGGCCACGCTCTGTCCTAGATGAAATGTGATCTCTCTTCTCGCCATAGGAGTCTGTCTGATGTGGTAAAGGGTGGGTAGCTGGTGTGCAGTGGTCTACATCCAGTGTTTTGCCTTCATTTACCTCTCACTGTTTTTGTTTGATCTTTTTCTAGGAAAAAATCCCAGAAATGGGATGAGATGAACATCCTGGCCACATACCATCCAGCTGACAAAGACTATGGCCTGATGAAGATAGATGAACCCAGCACACCTTACAACAGGTCAGAGGCTTCAGATAAAATTCCCTTTCATCTATTTCTGCTAATAGCACTTGTATGCATTCTGAAGACATTAATTTACCAGAGAATTGTTAAAATATATTTGTATACCCTAAAAATGATTTCCTTTGAGAATACTGTATGTCTAACACTACTGATTTTACCCTGATCTTATCACATAGCCTGTTTAGTGTTCTGATCAGTGCCAGTATACGACTGTTATGTAGGTTGGTGTTTGAGGTATCTCTCTGCAGGTCTGTAATCCAATACATCAGGGTACTGCAGAGAAGGTCATCCTTGTCATCCTTCCTCTTCCTTGCCTCATGTTGCCTCCTCTCCACCTATTATGCCCTCTGTCAGCTTATGTGCTTGGTTCTCTGCTTCTGTTTCCTTTCCTTCCCAGTCTTACTTCCTCTTCTTCCTTTTATTCATTTAATTTCTCTCTCTCAGGATGGTGGGGGATGATGATGATGACGGGGCGCTGAGTGACTCGGACGGCCACAGTGGACTCCCAGCTGATGACCTGGCATCAAAGTAAGAATGAAATGTAAATGGAGGGAGTCGAGGACAAACTAAGCACAGAGAGAAAGAGAGAGGGCCAGCAAAGATTTGAGGCATGACTGCTACCTTTAATTTCTGATTTCTTTTATGTATTTTTGGCACAGTGTTGGCAGTAGAAACGTAACCTGGAAATGGGAGAAAAATATTTTTGGTGTGGTTAGGTGTAGCCCAGGTAAACATGTTTTAACACCCTCAAAGCAGTGTTTTGGACAACATACTGGCCTCCTACAGAAGTTGCAAGACTGTAGGAACATTATCACATTAATTTTAAATCAGACAAACAAAATCCAACACCAAATTATTGTCGTGTGCTCTGTGTGAAGGCTAGCGATGCGCTGTGTGTCAGTTTAACAACTGACAACACCTCTGTTTTCATGGAAATGTTTCCTGTATTTCTACCATCAGCCTCTTCTGCTGTTGATCAGTAAATAATGGGTTTATGGGTGTTTTCCCATCACCCTTGAATTCCATGGGGAAAAGATTTGCAATGTGAGGAAATGCTCTATATCGTACTGGGAAATTCTATTAATCAAGGATGACAGACTATACATAAAGTAAATGGAATGCTGGAATATATGTATATATATATATATATATTCTTATTTGTGACATTTTGGTGTATTCAGAGCATCTTGGAATGAGCAAACCAAGACAAAATTTAAAGTTTTTGTCCCTCACCTTGACCAGTATAAAAAATAAGTATGTATTACTGAGATGTCATCTTTAATGGCAAGAAAATTTACTTTTTGTGTGTGCCTATCTTACTATTATTTTCCGATAACATTGAAAATGGAACACCATTCAGCAGTCAGGGGGAAATGTCCATTGTGCTGTAGATCAGAAAATGGTCTGTAGCTTCAACAGACCAAAAGTATGTTTTTATTTTGACAGAGTAGCACTGACGTATTGTCAGCCTGAAAATCTCCCTGTATGTGTACTGTATTCTCAAAGTAAAATTGCAGTGGACACTGAAGAACAGTGGCCACATTATAAAAGGAAATAATATACTGATTTTACAAAAATAACACAGTGTAGGCAAGCTGAATCAGGACTACAAATAGCATTTTTAACATCTCATGGTAGCAGTCTCACCTGAGCCTCTGAACCCAAGTTCTTGTTGTGTTAAGGAATACACGTGTCGCTCAGAGCTGTCTTCTGGTTGGTAATGGGGGCCTGAGAAGTGTATTTGCTGTGGGTTATTGTACATACTATGTGCACTAATGCAGTAATGAGATGAGCTAGTTTGAGTATTTGACTGCGTTCTCCACAGAGAGCATGGTGATTAGCTCCAGACTTGCAAGTCAATTAGCTGCCTTTGTTTGCTTCCACACAGTGTGCTTTCCATAGTTTTACACTAAACTCACCACACACTATAGTACAACAGCTGCTCTTTTTTTCTCAGCAGTATCCATTGGTACTCTCTGCCTGTCCATCACTTACCCAACTGTCGTTTACTTACCTCGTACCTAATTCACTGCATCACTCTCACTTTCTGTCTTCCTCCTTCTCTCTGTCTGTATTCCCGTCTTTCTGGGTGAGTCGGGCTACTTTGTTGGAAAGCAGAGGTACAGTAAATGGGAGCAGTTGCATTGATTCACCACCTCGAGTCATAAACCATTCTTCATTTTGTCCTCTGCTGTTGAAACTCTTTGTGAATATGACAGATGGTGTTAGTAACTCTTGATATTTTAGTCTCATGCTTGAATACCCAAACACACACACACATGCTGTGCCTACTCTCTCCTCCCTCTCACCTATAATCTCTCCATCTGTGTTCCTCTCTCTTTATAGTAAGATTTTTTTTAGGAGTTTAAATAATCTCTTCACTTTAAGAGGAGCTTTTGATCTCCTGTTTGCTTGGTCATGTGCTCATTTAATCTGGTCATTTTGCAACAGAGGAAAGGAAAAATAGGAATGGAAACACCAAAGAAAAAATTGACACTTGTACTTTATGTCCATCTTCTTTCAAGGCTGGTAGCAGCAGAGGGCTCAGAGCCTCGCTTCATGAAGGAAGAAGAGGAGAGCAGTGAGGAGGAGGAGGAGGAAGAGGAGCTGACTCCTGAAGAACAAGGTAAATACAGAGATTGTATTCCTGTTTTAATTAATCACATCAACGCCTGTCTGTCTAGTTTCAGCGGAATATTTAATTATTATTATTATTATTATTATATAATGTTATTCAAAAGTAAGAAACATGGTCATAACTCAGTAGCTGAGAGAGAGGGGTGTAAATATGTATCTTAACTTTTTTTTTGTTTGCTATTGGCAGCAAATAGGTTTCACCTCTTTATTTTTAACACAGTGTCCTTTGCAGCTGTGAGGGCAAATAAATTCAAAGTGACACGACACAGTGTGACATGTTGGTGGAAAGGGATCGGAATAGGAAAGAGCTCGAGTGTTCTGTGTGTGCTTTTGACCTTTCACTGATGTCCCTCAAGATGGACACACACTGTCAGGATACTTTTGACCATTTTCTGATCTTGCCCTTCTAAGTCCGAGGTTTCTATGGTAGCCTCTTGTTTTGTATTTCTGTCTGAACTATGCAGGTAAAAGCAAGAGAACAGTCTGGAAACCACAAATCCAATCGACGCAATCCAGCTGGAGAGCTGCAGCTTCAGCAGTTGTTGACACAGTTTTAGACATGTCAACGTGCGCCATCTACAGGAAGATTATATCAGCAGTTTTAGAGCTGCAGATGATGACAGGCAGATTTTATTTTGCTGATTAAAGAGAATATGGGAATGTTTAGACATGATACGTGAGCAGACATATGCTAGTACAGCCATATCAAACCAAATGCTGGCAGAAGAAATAGCTGATGGATGACTAAGATTTTGGTATATGAATGTTTAAATGATAAATGTAGATGTTAATGTGTTATATGTTTATTAGTAGAATGGTTGACCTTTTATTGCACAACGAATATTATTTCAGACACTTAATTATACAGTAGCTTTCATCATCTGATGGTAAAGCCTTAAAGATAAAGTTCAGTTCCAGAAAGTATTGAATTGTGGCTTCAGTCATTTCAAATTCATCTTCCCTTGCAGCCAAAAAGAAGCATTTTCAAATGATGAGGAAGATGCACTACAACGAGGGCCTGAACATCAAGCTAGCCCGCCAGCTCATAGCTAGGGAACTAGAAGATGACGAAGATGCAGATGAAGAGATGAAGGAGGACACAGAGGAGACAGAGGAGATAAATGTTGACCCACCACAGGAGGGTAAGGAGTGGGAGACTGTGATCCTGGGTACGTCTGGGTAAATAATTTGGACAGTTTACAGTCCAGCATGGTGGTGCATGGACAGTGGTATAGTACAACTGCACAATGTTGCTGAATTGGACAGAAATAATGGTTTTGTGCACTGATGCATGCTGTCATTGTGGATATTGTTCATTACAACTGTCAGCTGCTGTTTGTATGTGCTGCCTTTTGCTACAGTTACCAAACTTTGCATCAGGAAGTGGTTCCGGTGTTGTGTACATGAGTACAGTGCATTATAATGAAGGACTGGTGTTGGGGGTGATATCTGTTTTTAGTCATCAGCTTGTTCAGTCTTCACCAACTCCTACTTTGGAGGATCAAAAAAACAATAAAGAAATTATAGAAATATTTCCACATGTCTCATGCCTGCCTTTTTGTTTCTTGTTTGTTCTACAGCTGATTCCCTGGATTCGTAGATCAGGCCTCTCTGCCACCTTTAGCCCTGTGTCTCGGCTCAAGATCCAGACAGATACTGACACTGCACTCTGTTTCAGTGCTGGGCCATGCAGCAGACACTGCTTCACCACCTGTAACCCCTAGCAGCCAGCAACCTCTTGGGCACCTGTCCATCTCTACTATTTCTTTAAACTGTGCAATATAGCCTTCAAATGCAGTGGTTTTAACTCCCAAGAATTAACACAGAACTGAAAACTGCTGGTCACTCCTCCCCAATGTCCTGTTGCCAAGAATTTCCCCTCCCACTTCTTATGGACTGAAGAATGCGGTTCTGGCCCTGAAAGGAGAATCAGTATCTTTAAAATACAAAACTCTTACAGTCTAATAACATTACTCCCATCTGGCCTCTCCACAGCCCCTCTGTGGGCCACAAAGCCAATATGTCTGCCCTGTAGGAAGCCAGGGAAAACTCCATGGCCTCACTAATGACGTCTCCGAGACATGACGACAGCACTTCTACTGGGTGTGCTTCAGATGGCTTTTAATTTTGTTATGCTTCTTGATGCACCATTTTGGCATTTCCTTCAGTACTTTTGTGATGAAGGTTGGACAAAAATGATAACTTGGCTGGTTTGCCTTGTCCCCCCCCCCATTCACATCCAGATTAGCAGTTAACATGGCTTACTTGGTTATCTTGTGCCATCAGGAATATTTCTCTTCATATTGGCATTCCGGAGTCAGCATGAAATAATGATCATTTAGGAAATATAGTATTTCATAGTAAAGACAGTGTGGCCTATACACAGTCTGTTCATAAAAAATTCTAATTTGACATCTGACAAACAATAATACATGCTTCTAACTGAGATGTGCTGAAGTTTCTCACCATGATGCTTGCAGTCAACTCCTTCGAGTCAAGTATTAAACTGGCTCTTTGCTGACTTTGACTGTATTAATTTTTCTCTACTCATTTTAAGTTCTGGTAGTTTTACAAATATATATACCTCATAAAACCGGACTGAAGGCCTTTTCAAAATGAAATCCACTGATAAATTTGGCAAATATTTTGAGGCAGATTTTAAAAGCAAAACAAACATTTAACATTTGTTTACATCTGTTGCTTCTGTTCATGGGATTTTTTTTGTGGATGAAGATTGCAGGATAAGTCAGAGGTGGTTTTCCTGGTATGCTTAAGACATTTTAGTTCTTTGAGTCATGAGGGACAGCTGAAGTCCCGCATCTGAGGTCAAGCGCATGCTACTGATAAAAAAAACTGTCTTGTAAAAATGACTCTCGTCTGTAACAAGTTGCAGCTTTAAGCACCAGGCTCTTGGTAGATCTGACAAATAAACCAGTGCTCACTGTGTTCTTGCTTAGATAATATGCACTTCATCAGTTGAGCTTCATCAGGCGGGATTTGTGAGAAAGGTGCAATCACCAAGTTTGTGTTGAATTTCTCATCTGATTTATATGATGTGATACTTAATGGCTGATCTACTTAAGTTTCTTGTATGATGCAACTTGGGAATGTCAAAGAAAGAGTTGTTGATGCTACTGACTTTAGTTGGTGGAGTTAAACCACTAAGAACTTTTGGAGGCATTTCAATGATTTTTATGTTTGTGGCTCCTATAAGTGTGACAAATCTTTTAAAAAATGTTAGATTGGCAGAGTATTGGGGGGGAAAATACATGGATTTTGGTGCAACTTCAATTGCACATTTGTGATTGTGACCGAGTTTGTGGAGCTGTATCCTCGGGTACATGCTGCACGACTTCACAGTTTAATTAGGAACCGAATACCCCGAGAGAAACGTGCGTGTCATTTAGGAGCTAGGAGAATTTCTTGTGATCTCTTAATTTTCTTTCATGTTTTAGTTCCTCGCTGTAATAGGAAGCATTGAGCTTTGTATTATGGAAACACACAAGATCCTAGACCAACGGTATGATTTCTGCAAATGTCCCTTTGCAGTTTTGTGCGTGTGTGTGGTGTAGTATTGGCGACATTTTCTCTCCATGATAGAGGTGATAGAACCTCCTTTAACCCTTTCCACTCACCAACAAGGACTCTGTATTGTGAGAGAAAACATTTGAGCAGTTAAAGATCGTACAGTTGTAGAGAAACAGGATTACATCTGGAAATGCAGATTTAAATAAGACAACGATGTCTTTTATTTTGGTCACTGAATTTGTAAACAGAAAGGTTGAAGAAAAGCTGAGACAAGCGGTTTAAATTCGCAAGCTCGTCCACAACATGGTTGACATGATGGCCCTGTTGGTGGTTTTCCAGTCAAATGTGCCTCAAGTATTCATGTAGATGTGGGTAAAATGAATAGGTTATGCTCTATGATACTGTTCTCTGTCCTGTTTTATCGCACATCTCACTTATTGTTTTTGCACCACTTCTGCTTGGTTTGTTTTCTAAGGATGACAGACTGTTAAGCAGTCTGCAACACTGTGTTTTTCTCAAAATTACGTGGATCTTAAATCAGTGGGGGGTTTTTATTTAGCATTTTCGATTTGCATGTTCTTAATTATCAGATTGTACGTATTCTGTTTTGTTTCATCTCCTGTCATTAAACAAATGTGTTGGGAACTAGTCTGTTTTGGCTTGTTTGATTTGAAGTTTCAGAAACCACAAAAAATGAAAGGGAAAAAAAACAAATGGGATGGAAGAAAAATCAGATATGACATATGGATCTTTCCTACATATCAACTAAGTGAAATTCCTTATGATTTTTTTACACTTATTTGAAAAATAACATTATATGGTCAGTTCTAATAGGTCAGAAGGATTTAGAAATGGAATCTGATGTGACCTAATATTTTTAGATGGCTCTAAATGCAGTCAGGTCTTTGGAGCACAGTCAACTGCTCCAGAAAACAAATCAAAACATTTCAATCTAAATGACAAAAGTGAACTTTATCACACAGCAAACACTTTTATTTATAAGCTTGTCAAGTCCTTAAATATTAGTTGTCAAACTAATCCTCCTTTAACATCAGTAATGGAAAAACTACAGGAGTATTTTACACTGAAGTATTAGCAGTTTTAAGGATAGGTTTGCAGTTTTCAAGTCTGCCTTTAAACAACAGTCTGGTGCACATACGGTCACTGAAAAGGGATTTGCTTGATTAAACACATAAAAACCTTTAACATCTAATACATCTAGCATGATTGTAGAGTTGTATATTTTGTGTCTCATCACTTAGGCTGGAAGCACATTAAGAGGTGATCTGTATGAATAAGAGGAATGACTACAGCAAGAAAAACCTGTTTCAGTGTTCCCATGACAGACTTGGAAAAACTGTGAACCTGTCTTTCAAGTAAGCCATATAAATACTTTAAGCACCATTATTCTGGACACAGAACAGGAAATGTATTTTGTCATTAACTGGAAATACATGGCTTTTCTGGCGTTATCTTTAAAACATTTGGTTTCCCTGCCCCACTGGCGTGTTTTGGTCTGCCTTCTACCACCAGATGGCGCTGTTAAACAACAAAACACTCATTCCCGTTGGATTTCAAGTAATTTTAACAGGATACTGCAGGGGGCTGTGTTCGTGCAAGGATTATGTTGCATCTTTGGTTTAGTGTTGGTTTACAGGGATTTGTTCCACTGTTGGATAAAGTAACAAACTGTTATTCTTGTTACTTGCAGAATTTGTACTTGAGAAGCGAGTGTAAAAATCCACAAGAATAAAACACGGTATAGCAAGAAATGGGACAGCGTCAACAGTAAATCAATTGCTCCAGGAAGCTCCTGTCAACACAGATGGCGCAGAAGACAGATGGATGACTGATGCCTAGTTTTTGCCGTCGATTAATTTGATAAGTAAAACCAAGAGGAGAACCGCTGTTGTTGATACAGACCTACGGATTAGTCAGTCATTCGTTTTTATATTATTATACACTTAGACTTATAAGATTCCTCTTAAAACACGAGACAGCCTTTGCTGCTATGAACATGTTTGGTGCATGATCAGGAGAAGAAAAAAAATGACAAAGTCGTAAACGGTGACAAATGTAGTAAAAAAAAAAAAAATCAAAACCCGAACTGTCCTTTCCAAAAGTCTCCACAGTATTTGCTGTAACTCCTGCCTGCGCTCCGTGCATCCTGATTGAGACGTGTCTAGACCTTGACTGGACCCCACCTGTGGCAAGACACATATCTGTGTTTGTGTTTAGCCATGATGTTAATGGCTAAACATCATTTACTCGTATACCGAGCTTCCATTTGAAAATTTTCCCATTCTTTATGACTTTAACATTTATTTGTGTATTATAGACTGTTAATGGTATCTATTTTAGAAGATTAGACAGATTATCTCTTGCATGCATAGGTCTTTTCAATGTAGAGAGGAATAAAACAGCATATTTATCTTTTTGTAAAATCTGATTTATGAAGATACATATTTTCAAATGTATAAAAATGAACAAATCAATAAATTTTATTATTGCAATTGATTCTAAAGGAAAAAAATATCGTTGTATCTAAGCAACACGTTTTGGTAATTGTAAATTGAGGTTATATATGATCAGCAACAAATTGTGTGCCTCATCAGAAAGTGTTAAAAGACAAAACGATTAAACATGTTTATACACTCGGTGCACATGCGCTTTGGGTGGTGATTCATCTCATCTCATTATAGACGATCTTTGTGTGAGTCTGTACTATGTGCGTGGACGAAAAGCTTCTCTCCCACTGGCTGCTATGACCGAACTAGCGAGTGGGTCGACACTTTGTTTTCAGCACTGGCTGTTGTTTCGGAAATAGTTTTGTGGCATTTTTGGCAGTCAGGCCATTCAAAATACAGTTGTTTATGGTTGCATTGCCGCGAAATTTTAAGCGTAGCTGCTGGCCTCTGAGGCTAGCAGAGCAGTGACAGAGTGGAGTCCGCTGGTCAGACAGAGGCACAGTAACGTTAGCAAACCAGCTAATTAGCCAGAAGGACTCAGCCTGGATTACTGTTTAATCTAAGGGAGCACAGGTCTACGGGTTTATTAACTGTGGCAACATGAAGATAATGTTGGATTTCGAGGAATGTTTGAAGGACTCCCCGAGGTTCAGGTGAGTGCTGAAAACCAAGCTCCTGTTCCTTTTATTTATTTATCTTTGAAATAACAGGATAAAGTGTCCACTTAGCTCCTTGCTAACCTGAGCTAATCTGATGTAACTAGCTAGCTGTGTGCTGCTGTTACTTTTCTATTTTTGTCTCTAAAGCTGCCTCCAGCCGAGGTTTGGAAACCAAACGTAAACTCACTTGACCAGTGATGACCACGTACACTCAGGTTTCGTTTTATTAGAGTCACCAAGTTCAAACTGATGCAGTCTAAACAGTCCTGCAATAAATCCCTTATTAACGCCTGTAAAAACTAAACAGTTTCTATTATTTTGCCTAGCCAATTTATCTCAGTGAGGCAAGACTAAATAAAAACCTCTCTGTATAATGCAGTAAAATTCAACAGCTGCACAAACTACAGCCTCCATACAGCTGAATCAGCACTTCTCTAAAACAATTTGAACAAAGTCTTCACAAAGGGACACTAGATTGCAGGACTCTTATATTAGAATACATTCATTTTAGATGGGTGTACCTAATAAACTGCCAGCTGAGTGTGCTGTGCTGTAGGAAGCCACTCCTTCCCTGTTTTCTGTATATAAATAATGTAAAGATGGACATTCATTCATATTAAATATGAATGTGGGAAGTTACACTCTGTGCCAGTAGCCTATTTTGGCCATTGTTTAACATTTCAAGCCTACAGTATGACACCGTAGGAGAGTTTACTCCCAGATCTTGTGGCTCTGTCATCAAATGTGCAATGTTTGCAGAATCATTAGCTTTAACCTTTACTGTGTACCATTCACCAGACCACACTGTACTTTCTTACTTAACTTGGATTATATTTATTTCCTTGTTGGTATTTCTGTTGGCAGGGAACTCCCTTTCTTCTACTAGTGGTTCTGCAGTGATAGGTAGCACATCCTAAAACTCACCATCTATTTTTATTGTTTCATTCCCTAGTTAGTATTTAGATGAAAGTAGAATCTCAGAGGAATGGCTGGGTGTAAATGAGCTCTTCATCAGTTTTGTAAGGTTCATGTGATGTGTTGCTTCTGACATCACTCAAAACCACTTTTTTCCTCTTTGTCAAGAAGTTGTGTAAAATAGACTGTTTGCTTTCAACTTCCCCCTCACTTGATTTGAATTTTCCAGAAATGTGAGAAGGCGCATCCCTCCTTCCTCCCAGAGCCCCTGCTCCCCCTGCTGCTGCTGTAACATCCTTTCTCACAAAAACAAGGAACAGATGTTAGAAATGTTTTTGGAGAAGAGTAAATCATTTTTTTAAATCAGAGCACTGAGGGGTTTGAATAAAGGAAAACATCCAAGTCAGCTGTGTTACTTGAAACTAGTTGTAGTAATTTTTAAAAGCTTACAACTTGATTGGTTACATAACCATGACTGCAACTGATAAATTCATTATTGATTAATCACTTGATATACAAAATGGTGAAAAAATACCCACACTGACAAAGGTGTCAACCAGCAGTCCAGAACTCAAAGATAATAGGTCTAGAATGTTAGAGGACAAAGAAAAACAGCAAATCCTGCTATTTTCATACCTGAAACTAAAGAACTGTTGCTTGAAAAATGATTGACCTGATTGATTATCACAGTAGTTGCATATAAATTTTGGCAAATAGATTAATCAGCTAATTGTTTCAGCTCTAGTTGCCTTGTCAGTGATATTTCTTTCATGATTGTGAATAAGGGAGAGCGCCGAGTCACTGCTCTTTGAAGTTGCTGATGTCAGGGAAGTTAGAGTTTATCAAACAAAGTGAGGAAGCTACTTCATCTGAACCGCAGACACAGGCTGAGGTGAACAGACACTGTCTGAAACTGAAACTTTTAACCAATGATTTTCGGTCTATATATGATCATTCCCACTAGCTTCAACTCGTGTCTCTCTCTTGAAATTTAGTCATACTGTATGTGTGCAAGGCTTCATCTCTGGTTTTTGTATTTGTATTATGTGACTTTTTGATAATTTTCAGGCAAGAAAGTAACCACTTAGATTTAGAATATGTTCCCGGTTTATCTGACTAATGTGTACTTGGAGATTTGTTCTAATGTTTTCAGAGGACTACCAGCTAGTGGACCAAGCTGTCTTCATCATGTTCTCTTTCCTCAGACTGCACTGGCATTGAAATTTCCTGATGTTTCAAATATTATCAAAATAGTTGGTGATTATTTTACTGTTGATCAACAAATTGTTGTCGCTCTAATTCAGACTTGGCAAATTCAGGCCAAGAGCATGATGGTACATGATAGCACCTCATAGAAAATACAGTTTAAGTCTGTCCATCACAGGTTGTAACACATAATGTACTATTCTGCAAAAGCAATCCTCCTGGTACTGTTATTTTGCCAGGATTTTTCTCTGCAGCGAGGTGTTGACAGCTGAGCACATAGCCCCGACTCATCTGTATTTTTAGAGACCTTTGCCTTATGGGAGAATCATCTGTCAGCATTTCCTGACTCTTTAGTCCACCGTAGGTTTGTTCTGATGGGTTGGGACTAATCAGTTTTCCACTTAGGCCATCATCATTTTACCAACATTTTTCCAACCCCACTCGTTATGTTGGGCCAGAGAGGAGGACAGAGGGGGAGAGAAAGAGAATGGATGAAAACATGAAATATACAATACACCAGCGTCGAGCAGCTCTCACTCGCTCAACATCTGTTTCCATTTTGGTGTTTGCTTTCAACTTTGTGCTAGAGAATATGGAGCCCCCAAATGTAGAGAGGGTTTTCAAGTAGTAATTTGGCACACCCCATGTGTTTTTTTTTTCTTTTCTTTTCTCATCTCATCCTCATTTTAGCAGGGAAACTGTCTTTAGTTGTAAATGATGCTTTCAGCCTTGCGCAAAGATGCACTAGTGTTAACCTAGTTTTCACCTTGGGAATGAACATAAGAGCTTTCCTGGCTCCTCTTCAAGTATGAGAGCTGAAAATTCCCTTGGCGTTTATCCCCACATGTATGTAGAAATAAATGTTTTACATTCTTAATGTGTCTTTATATCCCACAAGGACACAGAGGAGGATAATATCGGCTATATGTTGTTCATATATTAAATATATTATATAGCGGTGTGTTTATGTTGATAGTTTAAGACCAATAATAATGACAATTCACTTGCCTCTGATTTTAATTCAATTGACTAAATCTTTGCTCTGTGGAGCTGAAATGCTGCAATATGTAGTTGTAAATATGGAATGCTGGAAAGTATAACATGAAGAAATTCATAAATAAAGTTTCATAAGAGAAGGATGAATCAATTTTATGCCTGACAGACATGAACTTCCCAGAAATGAACACATTTCTTGCAGATACTGCACATGACTCCATGTCTTCACTAATCTTAAACACTATAACATGAGACTGGTTTCGCTGATTCTGAGCTTGGCCAAGTGCCATGAAGTTACTGGTTGAACAGGAGCGCTGACAGTAGCTGTGGAGCCAGCAGAAGACCGTCAGTCTTCTCTAATACAGAACCCAGAGGCTGGTGAGGAGTACGCCTACTGCAAATTACCCTTATTAGTTTCCCTTGGGCGTCGTTCTGCAGGTTTGTTAGCATGCAGGGCTTGTTGCCATTTGATTTAAATGAACTATGGTCCATTTCCTTTTAATGGTTATTAATAAAGGCAATTAACAGATAATGAAATGGGAGGACTGATGCTACCGTTGCTGTAAATGGCACTATACTGACACTGTTGTAGTTCAGAAAGTATCAACCAAACTTTATTTCTACAGCACCTTTCATACATGTCTCTGCAGTTTATAGTGCTTGACATATAGATGACAATAAGACAGGTAAAATGAAAAACTAAAATAGTTTAAATATAAAGTGATAATCAGTAAAGTTGAATTAGAATTAAAAACTAGATAAAACAAATAGGGTGTAACAACAAATAATCAATAAAAGACTTCTTCATTTGATGCAAGATTTAAATTGCAACCTGTTTGAATTGCAGATGGGTTATATAATGTCGGGATGTCATATGGATTTGTCAGAATAACGAGACAGGCAGCACACTTGTAACTTTCTGTTGAAACAATGCTCTTATAGGCTGTTTTTTCTTCTGAAACATGGTTATAGCCTGGTTTACAAGCACATTTGAGTTTTTAACCACAGTGCATGTTGTTACTCAGCATGCCAGGTTGCACTGCTACAGGGGGAAGTACTGAGCAAATTGCGGCTTGGTAAACCAAAATGAGGAGAAGATGACAAACTAACAGGGGGCCAGGGCTACCTTCTATTTTAATGTCCACTGGCTGACAAAAACCAAAAAACAAAACGAAAAAGCAAAGTCTTGACTAATGCAACCAAAAACTGCATCACCAGAAGTTTTGGAATGCAGTTTGGAACAATTAAAGGAATTGCACCAGAGGGCCCAAGAGTGACTATTGGTTCATACACTGGAAGCATATCAGACAAGCAAGCTGGTGAGAGAACATGAAGTGCTTTTTAAAACAAGTAAAAGTATTTTGAATCAATATGGAAACTGACAGGCTAACATCGCAATGAGGACTTTGAAACAGGTGTGATGTGTTCTTGTCTTCTCCTTCTGATTTTATAACTTCTGGGTAGACCAGAGAGGAGAGCCTGACGTTAGTCAGAGGTGCTGGATGTAAAAGTGTGGTCTCTCTCTGTCGCTCCGAGAGAGAACTGGTCACACTTCAGAGATAAAAAGCACACTTTGTGACAATCTCCTTCTGAGCCTTAAAATTCAGTGGTGAATCAAAAATGACACCAAGAGTTCTGGGCTGTTGGCTCAGGTCAGACGTTTCTCTCTGGGCCTTTGACCCTATAACTAAAATCTCAGTTTTGTCCTGACTGAGCTGTAAAACACTTTGTGATATCCAGGGACTAAAATATATGTTTAGGGGAGGACAGTAAATAAAATAAATCTAATACGATACTTTAATGTCTAAGTAGACAGTTATTTTATCTGAGCTCCGGCAGCTCAGAGGAAATATTTATTTTTCTGCTGAAGTTGTTGA